CCTTCCCTTCCCCTTTTCCCATTTCTTTTCCCTTTTCCCTTCCCATCTCCTTTCCTTTTCCCATTCCCTTTTTTCCTTTTCCCTTTACCTTCTCTCTTCTCTTCTCCCTCTTCCCTTTTCCCATTCCCCTTTCCGCTTCCCCCTTCCCTTTTCTCTTTCCCATTTCCCTTTCCCTTCCCCATTTCCCATTCCCCCTTCCCTTTCCCATTCCACTTTCCCCCTTCTCTTTTCCCTTTCCCATTTCCCTTCCCCTTTTCCCATTCCATTTTCCCCCTTCCCTTTCCCTTTTCCCATTCCCCTTTCCTCTGTCCCTTCCCCTTTTCCCTTTCCCTTCTCCTTTTCCCTCCCCTTCCCCATTTCCCCTTCCCTTTCCCATTCCCCTTTCCCCTTTTCCCATTTCCCTTTCCCTTCCCCTTTTCCCTTTCCCTTCTCCTTTCCCCCTTCCCTTTCCCTTTTCCCAATTCCCTTTCCCTTTTCCCTTTCCCATTTTCCTTCCCCTTTTCCCTTCCCCTTCTCCTTTTCCTTCCCCTTTCCCATTTCACATTCCCCATTCCTTTTCTCTTTTCCCATTTCCCTTTCCCCCTTCCCCTTTTCCCTTTCCCATTCCCCTTTCCCCCTTCCCTTTTCCCATTCCCCTTTCCCTTCACCTTTTCCCTTTCCCTTTCCCATTCCCATTCCCCTTCCCCCCTCCCTCCCTCCCCAATTTCCCGGAACCCCCTCCCGGTTTTCCCCACATGGGAAGCGTAGTAGAGCAGGAAGGGCCGGCGGTGGCGGGCGCAGTCGGCGATGAAATCCCGGGAGAATTTGTTGTAGAGGGGCACGAGCTCGGGGAAGGAGACGGGCTGCTGGATGATGCTGAGGTTCCAGAGCAGCGGCAGCGGCACCACGCCCTGGTCGCACGTCCCGAAACATTTGGTGTCCGGAGGGAAGCAGGTCAGGTTCTGGCACGGACCCTGGGGAACGCCACGGGGGGTTTGTTTTTATTGGGGAGGGGGAGGAATGGGATGGGAGGTGGGGAGGTGGTCGGGGTTGTCAGTGTGGCACCCCCTGTTAGAGAGTGGGGAGAGGGACAGGGTATGGAGAGGGGTCTGGGGGGAACAGAGAGGGGTCTGGGGGCACGGAGAGGGGTCTGGGGGCACGGAGAGGGGTCTGGGGGCAAAGAGAGGGGTCTGGGGGCACAGAGAGGGGTCTGGAGGGCACAGAAAGGGGTCTGGGGGCACAGAGAGGGGTCTGGAGGGCACAGAAAGGGGTCTGGGGGCATGGAGAGGGGTCTGAGTGGCACAAAGAGGGGACAGAGGGGCACAAAGCGGGAACAGAAGGCCACAGCGACCAGCCAGGAGCCCAGGGGGGAGCTTTTCCCACCCTAAAAGCGGCCCAGGATTGAGCTGTTCCCAACCAAGCCCCTACCCCGCACACCTGGAGCCCCTCACCTGGTCATGGGAGTAGGGCACCCCCAGGAAGTGATCGAAGCCCTGGTGCACGGGCAGGAAGGAGCCGTTGATGCCATAACCCAGGTGCCACTTGCCAACCATGGCCGTGGCGTAGCCCTGAGCCTTCAGCACCTCGGCCACGGTGACCTCGGCCAGGGGGAGCCCCCCCCGGGAGCCCGGATCGAACACCCCGGGATAAATCCCGGAGCGCACCGGGAGGCGGCCGGTCAGCAGCGCGGCCCTGCGGGAGCGGGGACACGGGACATCAGCGGCGACAGGCGGGACACCGAGGGGTCAGCACCGAGTCTGTCCCCGGACACCGAGGGGTCAGCACTGAGTGTCTGTCCCGGGACACCGAGGGGTCAGCACTGTCCGTCTGTCCCGGGACACTGAGGGGTCAGCACCGAGTGTCTGTCCCGGGACACCGCAGGTCCATGACCGCCCGTTTATCCCGGGATACGTTTGGTTTATCCCCTCATCTATCCCGGGACACGGCGGGTTTATCCCGGACCTGTTTTCCGCAGGACGCAGCGGGTTTATTCCCCTGTCTCTCCCGGGACACGGCAAGTTTGTCTCCCCATTCCTCCCGGGACACCGCAAGTTTGTCCGCCGCCCGATCCTCCCGGTACCACGGCTCCATCCCCTCCCGGATCCCGCCGCTCCATCTCCTCCCGATCCTCCCGGTACCATGGCTCCATCCCCTCCCGATCCTCCCGGGTCCCGCCGCTCCATCCCCTCCCGTTTATCCCGGGTCCCGCCGCTCCATCCCCTCCCGGGTCCTGCCGCTCCATCCCCTCCCATTTATCCCGGGTCCCGCCGCTCCATCCCCTCCCGGGTCCCTCCGCTCCATCCCCTCCCGGGTCCCGCCGCTCCATCCCCTCCCGGGTCCCGCCGCTCCATCCCCGGCGCTCCCTCCCGTTTATCCCGGGTCCCGCCGCTCCATCCCCTCCCGGGTCCCGCCGCTCCCTCCCGGTTGCCGCCGCGGGGGCCGTACCGGGACGGGCTGCAGACGGCGGCGCCGCTGTAGAAATCGGTGAAGCGCAGCCCGCGGGCCGCCAGCCAGTCCAGGTTCGGTGTGGCGGACGAAGGGTGCCCGTAGCTACCCAGGTCCCCGTAGCCCAGATCGTCCGCCAGCACCAGCACGAAGTTGGGGCGAGCGGCGGCCGCGGCTCGCAGGGGCAGCGGCAGCAGCAGCAGCAGCACCCAGGGGTGCAGCAGCCCCCAGGGGTGCAGCCAGGGGTGCTGGCGGCCCTGCGGCCCCATGGCGCTGTCCCGGTTGTCGCCGGGTGTCCCGGTGCCGGCCCGGGCTGTCCCCGCACTGTCCCGGGGCCGTCCCGGCAGTGGCCCAGCTGATCACGTGATGCAGGCGGCGGGCGCGGGGCATGATGGGAGATGTAGTCCCGGGAGGAGGTGGCGGGAAGGCGGAGTACCGGGATGGACATCCCAGGGAGTGTTATAATTGCACATTACATCATTGGCTTCTAATAAACATTAAAATCAACGTTATATGTATAAGGTTAGAAAACTTTATTGTATTAATATAATTTCTTTTATTTCTGTTATTGATGAAACTTAGAAATAGCGGTATAATACATATATATATATATATATATATATATATATATATATATAAAAAAATATATATATATATAAGGCTATAACATGATATTAAAGCACAAACTACTTTTGTTTATATAACCCAGAGACTGAAAAGACAGTCAGAGACCCTCCTGCATTCTTAAAATTATCTTGTCCTCCAAGATCTCCAAGAGAAGGATTTATTTCACCCGTTATCAGAGGACATAAAACCCCGTGGCACCAAGAAGATTGATCTATTGGGAAGGAGGAAAGGTAAAAACTAAACAAAGGAACATCAAAAACTTAAGAAGAATGTCTGAATATGTCTGAGAATTTATGGATATGTAGTAGGGTTCTGTTTTTAAGGGACAATCCTTTGTTAGTAAGGTGAATGCAGAGACACTGGGCTGTATCTGCATATTTTACTTTATTTTTATCTCCTGATTGTCTTTTTATTAAACTTTTAAATTCTATATAAAAATATGTCAACCTCGTTTTTCACAGGGAGGGACATCCCAAAGCACAGGATGGCTTCTGGGCACCTCAGGAATATCCCCAATGAGGAGAGATCCCAGATCCAGGGATCCCAACTGGGTCCCTGAGGGTTGGGATGGGGGGTCCCGGCAGCTCAGAGACAGGAGCTGGGGACAGCGGGGACAGCCCTGGGTGGCACCTCCAGCACCTGCCCAGCAGCCCGGGATCCCCGGCTGCTGCCATTCCCGTCCCTCCCGACGGCTTTTCCCGGGAATGGCACAGCCGAGGCTCTGCTGGAGGAATCCTGGCCTGGAGAAGTTTCTCCCTCTCTCCACCTGCCCGGCCCATCCTCCCCTCCCCTCCCTCCAGCCCTCCCTGGCTCCCCCTCGTCCCCCCCAAACCAGAGCCCAACCCCGCTCGTTTTTCCCGGATCGTCCCATCCCTGTTTTCCCCAGGAGACTGAATCGGGCTGAAAATGTGGATTATTGGGCGTCCTGATTCCGGAATATTTGGAAATTATTTTGGAATCATTTTTTTCCGGTAGCTGGGAGTGGGGTACGTCCGGGACCCCAGGGGCCAAGGGACTCTCACTTCCATGGATAAGGGCATTTTCTCCAGTGGGGATAAATTTTCCATGGAAATCACTGCTTTGTCTTACACTTTTCTTAATTAATTTCCCTTCAAATAATTAATTCCCTCGCTCATGGCTGTTTCCAATAAATTATTTTTAACCCCTGATCTTTGCCTTTCGTGTTTCCAAGTGGGAAGGAGCGGGAGCTCGGGTTTGGTTCGAGGATCACCAACCAAAACCCTTCAAAAAATTTTCTAATCCCTCAACCTAAAAATTTTCACATCAACAAATTCAAAACCCAAAGAAAATTTGGAAGTATCTAAGGAAAAAGTTACCACAATAATTCTAAAAAACAAAAAAGAAATCATTGCAATAAACCAAACACTAACATACACTTATCAACCACTACGAAATATTATAAAATATTTATATTATATATACTAGTTATATTATAAATATTTATATTCTCTTATCTATTTATGTAAAAATATTTATTATATATATATTGCTTACAAATATTTATATTCTCTTATATATTAATATATTATATATTATATGTTATATGTTATATATGATGTATTATAGATTATGTATATGTATTATATATTATATATAACATTATATACAACATTATATATGATATATGATATACGATATATGATATATGATATATTATATGTGATTGTGATATGTGATGTATTCTATAAGATAATATAGTATAAATTATATGTTATATATAATATATCATATATTATATATTGTGAACTGTATATTGCATATTATTTATTTTATATTACATATTACATATTACATATTACATATAACGTATTATGTATTATATATTACATATTATGTATTACATACTATGTATTATCTATGAAATATGATATATATGATATAATATATATTATATATTATATATTATATATTGTGTATTGTATATTGTATATTATGTATTATGTATTATCTATTATCTATTATTATATAATTTATTGTATAATATACACTATATAATATATACTATATACTATATAATATATTACATATTATATATTATATATTATGCATTATATATTATATATTATATATTATATAGTATATAGTATATAGTATATAATATATGTTATATGTTATATGTTAATGTTATATATTATATATTATATATTATATAATATATTATATATTATATATTATGCATTATATATTATATATTATATCATATATTATATATTATGTATTATGTATTATATATTTTATATTATGTATTATGTATCATATATTATGTATAACATGTTATATATATTTGATCCCAAATAGTCCCATCCCTGTTTTCCCCAGGACAAGGAACTGGACAAGGTGGAGAAGTGGGAATAGGAACAACTCTATTTCAATCCAAAGTGGATTCACGGTCGGGGCGGGCGCAGGGGTCAGCGTGGGCAGGGCCCAGCAGCCCTGGGCACCGGGGCTGACCTTGGCCCCACAGCCACGGCCCCGGCTGGGAACGCTCGCCACAACTGGATCAGCTCATCCCGCTGCTCAGGCTTTCTTTCCTTTCAGGAACTGCAGGAGCTCCAGCAGCAGGTTCAGGAATTTCCCCAGGATCTGTTGTTGGTATGAAAGGTCCGTAGATTCCCCCGTGACCGCTGGGTTGGGGTTCTCCAGATTGCTAAAATCCGAGTCTGGCTCTGGCTCCGGTTCCAGCTCCAGCTCCAGGGACAGGGTTGGGAGTGGCTCTGGTGGAGGAACATCAGCTTCTGGTGGGAGCAATCCCATCTGGACCTGGATCCAGGTGTGGAAGTGCTGGG